CATACAATTATCATTTAACTTGACTGTGTATACAAAAAATTAAATGGTACCTATCTACAAAAAAAAAACAATTTTGGTAGTGAGAAAAAATAAAAAATAAATACATAATTTAAAAAATAAAAGAATTAAAAAATTAAAGAAAAGAAAATTAGACAATTATAAAAACAAAAAATAAAATTTTTAAAACAAAAAAAGTAGAGGTTTTTAAAACTGCAAATTTCAAAAAATTATAAAATTTGCGCATACAGAAAACCGGAAAATTTTTTTGTTGCAATTGTTGCAAACAAATGAAAAAAGAATTGAGAAAGCACATAAAAATTCAAAATAAAGTTCACAAAATTTCACTTACACATTAGCAATCCAAGTAAAAATCTTCTGGCAGATCAAACAAGGAACCAAAAATATTTGAACAACCATTTAAATGACAGCCCTCACAATTGACAGTCGTTTCCTTTCATTACTTTGCGCAGCAGCATAATCGGGCCATCCCAAACACACCTATCATATACAAATGTCGATGAGGCATTGCCAATATTGGAAAATCAGCTATTCTACATTGTTAAATTTTCCTTGGATCAAGTAAATCGGCACCGTAGGAAACAAAATCGGTCCACCTAAAAAATGTTCCCATATTAAAAAACTTCGTTGCAGAACAAATGAAGGTAGGTAATATGTGGACAAACGCTCTTGTATGGGTAGACTTATTATCAGAAAAAAATGTGTGAAGCATAAAAATATGGTTTTGTTAGTGCGAAGAGTGCCTACACTCTTTGGTTTTCATAGGAGCGACTTCTGTAAACTTAGCCACCCGTCACAACAATTTCAACCGTTAAACAAACATTAATTATATGTTTGATCACATGTAATTAAAAATGCAAATACAGTGATCAATTTTTTGGCCCTCATTTTCTGTCAGTTTTGTGATTTTTGTATAGCCAACAGAAGAAAAAGATGCCATAGATGCGAGTGTATTGCCAAAAACAGCAAATTATTAACAATAGAGTATGGTTGGTTGCCTAACTTCCAGATTTTCTAGCATCCACTGGTGGGACGAAGTGACGTATTGTCGCCAACGCCAATATTAGACCGGCTTTTCAAGATGTTAATTTTCCTTGGAACAAGTTGGGACAAACATGCCTAAATTTACAAAACTGTCGCAACAAATGTACGTAATAAGAGAGTATTAAAATGGGGTTTGTTATTTTCGAGGCAAGTGCAAAGAGTAAAGTTGTAATTTAAATGGTGTAGGTATTCATCAACTTGAACATGAACTGAACAATTATTAAGATATTAGTTGCAGGCCTTTGTCCAAAAAGCTTTGGGCTTTTCGACGACAAGCTAATTTTAAAACTAAGTCACAATCGCTCGCATTTGTAAAATTTAATAAAAGGGATTGGTGCTAGGGTATGCGAGTACTTTGTATTAGTGGTGCTAACCACATAATTTCGCTTTGAGGTATCGTAACATGAAAAACATAAATAGCGGAGCAGTCACAGTAAAGTAAAATTAACTCTGTATCGATATAACGGGTGTCCCAAAATTAACGCAAGATTTGAATTTGCCGCCATTTGTGCGGTGAAGTGTTGGCAACCCTGAAAAAAAAGCAATTTGACAGCTAACAGTATAGGGTTATTAAAAATGGAGCGTTACACGATAGGACAACGTGTCTTCATTATTAAAGAATATTTCAAAAATAGTGAAAGCTTGGCGGCTGCAGTTCGAAAATTTCATACAAAATATGGTCGGAATAGTGTTTTAACTTCGTCAACTGTGAAGAGATTAATTGAAAAATTCAGACTGGATCCGTTGGAGACGCCAAACACACTGGTCGTCCAAAAACAAGCCGTTCGAATGTGAACACTATTCCGACCATATTTTGTATGAAATTTTCGAAATGCAGCCGCCAAGCTTTCACTATTTTTGAAATATTCTTTAATAATGAAGACACGTTGTTCTATCGTGTAACGCTCCATTTTTAATAACCCTATACTGTTAGCTGTCAAATTGCTTTTTTTTCAGGGTTGCCAACACTTCACCGCACAAATGGCGGCAAATTCAAATCTTGCGTTAATTTTGGGACACCCGTTACATGATTGGAACGCCTTTACAACACACCTTTTGGGCACCGACTGATGGAACTTGGTGATGTAGATGTCCACACTGCCAATATTGCAATAGGTAGCTTTTCCTCAGCTTTAATTTCCCTTGGATCAAGTATTTATTTTGGCACAGCATCCACCTAAAAAATATGCCGTATTAAAAAGTTTGCAATCACAAGAACAATAATGTAACTAATAGTAGTTGTTGCCCTTCTAAAGGTAAAGTATAGGCGTTGACATTTTTAGAAAGGAGAGAAAGGTACAAAATATTATAAACCCCGGCCTCATGCTCCTGTCAAATTATAAATAGGTACGTATTCAATCAAGGAACATAGTACTCGCGTTAGAAAAAAAAAAGTCACATATCTCGGGTTGTGCATACACGAAGATTACTTTAATTACTTTGGGTGTTAATATTGAAACAACGGATCTGGGCCCACAATAACTTTTCAATAAAATATGACATTCTTAATCAGCAGTAATAAAAGACTGCATTTCGTGCTTCTGTTTTTAAGATAAAAACATCAATTTTATAATAATTACCTAAGTATCCTTTGGCAAACAAGTGGATGTATGTGCCAACGAGCAAATTTTCACAAAGCTATTCTCATGAATTTTCCACTGTGCTCATCGTAGGACCCCCTGCATTGACATGGTCTACAATTAACCACAATGTAATACCCTAGTTGAAAATGAATTGCTCCTCCCATTTTGCTAGCATAAAAGAATGTAGCAAGCTAAATGTGGACATGACCAAATTCCCACCAACCAATGGCTACAATCATGTGATCTAATTTCGATAAAACCAGAATACGAATTATTCTGACTAAACGAATTGTCCAGTTGTAATCATCCCTTATTTATATCATAGAAAATAACGAGGTTTTTAATTTCTGATGGACTACACCCCATATGTAGGTACTTCAGCTTAAAATCACCATCAATTGGAAAAGTGAGTGAGGGGTTGCAACACAAAATTATTTTCAAACTCTCGAAAGGATGCGTTTTCTATTTCTAAAGGGGAACAAATGATTGTAATCCCCCATCTACTTACAATACAACCTCCATTCATTGGCCAAGGTAAGAAAAGGTTGTAGCAGTCTGCTGTTAAAATTGTACAAAAATTTGTGATGGTTCGCAAAACAATTAGTAGTCACCCCACCCGACCCTACCCTCAAAATACAAATCCGATTCATTAGCCAAAGGAAAGAAAAGGTTGTGAGCTACCTGTAAAAAAAAAAAAGGTCACTGGGAGTGAAACAATCGTTAGTCACCCCAGCTACTTGCAATAACTAATTAACAATGAATAGCTCCTCACCATTTTGATAGATTTAGAGACTCAGCATAAAAGAATGTAGCAAGTAAAATCTGAACGAGACTGAAGTTTGAACAACTAATGATTGGGGGTTACAATCATGTGATCTAATTTCGATAAAACAATTCGTATTCTGGCTAAGGTCAGTTGTAATCATCCCTTATTTATATCTATCACAGAAAGTAAATTTGAAACAGTCAGAAACAAGTTTTTAATTTCTGATGGGCTACACACCCCATGTACTTAAGCTTAAAATCACCATCAATTGGGCTAGGGGTTGCAAAACCGCCCTTAAATCGCACAAAATTAATTTGAAAGTCTCGAAAGGATGTTTTCAATTTCTGAAGGAGAACAAATGATTTAAATCACCCCATGCATTGGCCAAGGGTAGAAAAGGTTGTATAGTAATCTACCTTTAAAATTGTAAAAAAAAATTTGTGACAGGGTGTGAAATAATTGACAGTCACCCTGTCTACTTACAATGCAAGCCTGATTCATTGGCAAAAGAAAAAGAAGGTTGTTAATCTTCCTTTAAAATTATACAAAATGATGGATCGCAAAACAGCCAAGTGTATGAGGGGTTACCCAATCGTGTAAATCACACAAAATGAATTTCAATTTCTGACAAAGTCCAAAGGATGGAGAATTACCACCTATCCATGTCAAGCAAATAGGGGGTTGCAACCCCCAGATTATAAAAAATTAATTATTAAATTCAAAGATTTATAGGGGTAAAGGGGTAGTTAACAGTTAAAACAGGTTATCGAAATTTGGGTGCGACTAGTGTAAAGTCGGGTATCTACTCAATGGCGAGCTGAACTGTGCCGGCAATGGTTACCGTAAAGCTGCATATAGGTACATTATCCGAACCGAACGTGTAAATGTAACAAAGTCGTGTTGTGACGGTACTCCAAGCACGTAGCGAACAGGTTCGCAACGTGCTCGCCCGCTCCACCAAAAGTCGGTTTTTGTGACGAACACAAAGGAATTCGCTCGCACAGTTGGGACGTGTTTTAGTCCTTCTCCATGTTCCTAGAGTGCCTGAATCGTTGGGAGCACAAAACGAATACGTTCTATCAAAAGTGAACGAGTCATGAACGAGCAGTAGGTACATTATACGTTTGGTTCGGATCATGTATACGCAGCTTAACATTTTTCAGTGTGGATGTGCACCCATTTTCTCATCGAGCATCACCTTAATCTGTGTTCGAAGTAAAAAACCGACGAGCATCGGCTCGCAGCAAGTGGATCAACGTATGCTCGGGAGCAGCGTCCACACTGACAAATTTTATTTTCAATAACAATTACTGTTACAGTTCGACTAGGCAATGAGTATCAACCTCGGCTTATCAAAACCTGTAAAACGACATCCTTTACCTAAATAAAAATCCTGCATCCCCTCTAGGTCTAAAAGAGAAAATGTTCCCGATTTCAAGATATACCTATAGGTAAGTAGGTACCTACCTACCTACCTAGGTACGTAAAGAATGTCCCAAGTCATGGCTTACTTTTATTTTCAAGTTTAACAAATTACCTAGGTACATTAAATAAGTACCTAGGTAGGTAGTTAATTTAGGTAGGTACTTACCCCTTTATAAGTAATGATCAATTGGCGCAAAAAGTTACTTAGATTTTCTGGCAAGGCTCCCATCAGGATTAACTTTGAGCATCAGGATTGTCTCGATGCGGCGCAGCTTCCAATTTAACAAGCTGGAATATATTATTATTAGAGATTAGAGGTGGCCATACAAACGTTTTCGTTAAACACAAGTAAAATTGGCACAAGAGAAAAGCTATACCTACTTATGAAATTTATCGAAAAATAGCCAACGCCCCGAAGTGACGCTATCAAAAATTAAAACAAACTGCTCCAACTAAATTACGTATTCACCCCTTTTTACATTAATATATGAATTAATTAAAATGTAGGTATGGTAAATAATGGCACGATGAGCATATAATAATTCAGTAATTAACTCACCCCAAACGTTAATTAAGCGGGTTGCATCAGGTAACGCACGAACGGCATCGAAATCGTCAAGATGGCGGGCGTTAAACGACAAATGTTCTAGAAGCTTCCATCCGCTCAGGATAACTTGGTACCTTTATTATAGGAGTCCGGATGCCGCTGATTTTCGAAATTAACGCAGGCTGTAAAATGATCACGATATTAGGTTTGCTATTAATTAATAAACCGTGTTCTTGCCGTTAATTCAAGCGTAAATGAAGAAAAATGGGAGAACGCGTTGAGCTACACTACCGGCTACCCACAATCCCTCTTGCTAAAAGGCTAAAACTAAGCGTCTGATATGCGCAATAGACCGCTTTTGGTCGAAAATGGCCACCCTTGAAATCACCTCAAATTAAAAAATTTATAATTTGAACAATTAACCCTGTTTTACGTTAAGACAAATACGATTAGGATGCATGGTAACAAAATTTACCAAAGGATTTCAATGATAAAATAATGTAGGTACTCACCCCACGGACGCACATGATTAAATTAATCGCAAAATTTACCAAAAATTCGTTAATGTATAGGTACACCGTTTATTAAAATCTCGTATCGTGATTGCATCGAAATTTAATCACTAAAGAAATTATTTATACCGCTGCACTAAAGCAGTTATTGCTGCAGCGGTTTGAGAACTTGTAACTTGTAAGCTCGAGTGAAGTTGAAAAGCTCTTATCTAGTCGTCTGACCTCGATTCGGACCGCCGCGATTGGTTCATTTTGAATTTGTCTACTACGCTACTATCCGTCCCAATACATTCGATTCGTATTTTTCCTGGAATTGCGTCTGCTTTGGATTTTTATTATACCTTCACGCCGGTGATAATTTCGATCAATTAACAATAATTACAAAAAAGCGACGTGGATAGGGGTGTACGCTCGTGATTACATCTAATTTGCGAGAAGTTTCGTGCGCAGAGTTTAACGGTTGTCCTTGAAAAATGTGGAGGTCAAAGACAAAATTTTACGCATCCTCGGCCCAACAACTTACAAGTTTGTGTTCTTGATTAGCCAATTTTTACCTATACAATTAGTCTGGTCTGGAGTCATAATTTAATGTCCCCAGAATACGTATGACCTAAGTATAAGTTTTACCAACTGGTTGAATGATTTCCATTCAAATAATGGCATTAGATATACAGTGTGGTAAGTAAACGGCGGGACATAGGGAAATAACATGGGAAAATGCATTTTCGGCAATTCCTGTTCTCCATTTCATCCTACAGGAAAAATGAAAACATGATCGGATAGGTAATTAGGTAAAATAGGTATCCATCGGATGACATTATAAAAACATGCAACTGTGAGGTCTCATGCAAGCCTAAAAATTAAATTAAAAATCCTAAAAATTGGTAAAAACTGGTTGGCCATGGAGACCTACGACAACAAATCGTTCTTTTGACTATCATCTCACTTCAACCACGAGAGGGTGAAATAATTACATTACAAAAGATTGACCGGTCATTAACTTAACTGAAAATAAATCACGGAACTTCGCCGTGTATTAGGTAGGTATCTCCAGATATAAATCGATTTTACAATGAAGACCTTTTCTTCTGTAGTGTAATTATTATTCATGTTGGCGTGTTTATTAGAGATGACAGTTAAATAAAAGAATGAGGTGACAAATGCGGTAGGTAAATCATGGCCAACCAATTTTTTACTATACCTTTTTGGATTTATTTATTTAACTTTTATACTTACTTTTAAAAAAGGACTTGGGCTTTTTTGGTGACATCTAATACCGATTTTAATTATCTATCCCAGGGTGTTTTTATGTTTTCTTTAGGTTAAAATGGGGAGCAGGAATTGCCGAAAATGTATTTTCCCATGTTATTTCCATTAGTCCCGCTGGTCAACTTGCCACGCTGTATAGTTATACCTACTTATAGGTATAGGTACCTACAGATTCATCCCAATTAATTATACGTATCTACCTACAAAATCTTATTTTGTTTATCGACCTGTTTGTCACCGTAACGAACGTTTGTTTGATTAAAATGTCTAGGTATAAGTGGCGTTGCGCTTTCGATTGGTGCCTAATCTTTTTGTATAGGTAGGTACCTATATGCGATCAAAAACCATCAGTTGCTGTCGAGTTACCTACCATTGGAATTTTTGTTTACCTACATGCGAAATCGTAGGTACCTATATACTTATTGAACTTCCAAAGGCGACTCGACCGCCACTCATTTTTGATCGCGCCTTATATAGGTAGGTATAAGCAGCAATTTTTATATGATTATGCTAGCAATCAAAATGAGACTGGAACAAAAAAAACTACCTACTGCAACCCAAGTTTTTATTGCACTTTCACTTTCAAAAAATAAAAAATGCACTTTTGCGCTATTAATGCGTCTGTCTGTCCGTCTGAGTAACAAAAGGCTCCAGAACTACACCACTTACAGACTTGGAATTGGTGTCATACGATCAGAAATTAAAAATTATTTCATGTTTGTATTCTCGTTAAGCCATGAAATGTCCACAAGGACTATTAAAACCGAAAAAACAAATTTGAAAGATGCATACCTATACTTAGGTATACTCTTCGCCTCTTGCGCACAAGCGGCTGAACGAATTTTTTCCAATCTAGTACATCAGGCTAAAAAATAAAAAATTCGTTAAGCCCCTTATGAGCAAGAGGCGAAGAGTATACCTAAGTATAGGTATGCATCTTTCAAATTTGTTTTTTCGGTTTTAATAGTCCTTGTGGACATTTCATGGCTTAACGAGAATGCAAACATGAAATAATTTTTAATTTCTGAACGTATGACACCAATAGGTACCAAGTCTGTAAGTGGAGTACCTACTTCTGGAGCCTTTGTGACTCAGACAGACATCAAGAGCGCAAAAATGCGGAAAGTGTTATATAGGTAGGTATTTGTTTTTTTTAAATATCTTTTCAAACAAAGTCAGAAAAAAATAAAATCGAATAGGTAAAGTTAATTTTGGTTTCGAATATTTTCTTAAAATTTCAAAATAAGTAGGTAGATCCTTATAAAACATTCTAACGTTTCTGAACTCCTTGGAAGTTGAAGTCTAGAAAGGTCTCTAAAAACCTACCAACAATCTGAAACTCCTAAGGTCTTAAAGTAGGTAACCTCACCTCCTATATAAGTAGGTACTTTTATATCAGGGTGATTCAAAATTACACAGGTATACATATCTTAAAAACCGCAGCGGAAAATCTGATAGAACTTACCCCTTTTGGAGGTCTGGAACGGTTTTAGGGCGATTTTAGAGTTTTTATTTACTTTTGGATTGCGTTTCTTTGGGACTATAAAATTAGGGGGGCTTATAGGATCCTTTGCATACTTTAGACTTCAGAACTGGATAGCTTAAAAGCTATTTTCATATACCGGGTGATTAAAAATTGAGTGCAAAGATTTTAAGGGTGTTTTTACCAGCCAAAAATAAGAATTTGTTTTCATATAATCGCGTAATCCTAACTTGCTTCAATTTCTAGATACAGGGTGTACAAGTTTTTTTAAAAAATCGGTTTTTATTTATTTTATTCCCACCAAAGGAAGACCCTGATGACGACAAATAGTCTACCAAAAACCGATTTTTTTAACAAACTTATCCTGTAACTGGAAAAACGAAACAGTTAGGAGGTACGATTACTTACCTATATGAAAAAAAAATTCTTATTTTTGGCTGGTAAAACACACTTAAAATCTTTGCACTCAATTTTTAATCACCCTGATGTATATGAAAATAGCATTTAAGCTATCCAGTTCTGAAGTCTAAAGTATGCAAAGGATCCTATAAGCCCCCCTAATTTTATAGTCCCAAAGAAACGCAATCCAAAAGTAAATAAAAACTCTAAAATCGCCCTAAAACCGTTCCAGACCTCCGGTTTTTAAGATATGTACCTACCTAGGTAGGTAGGTATACCAACCATACAAGATTTTGGAGCTTGTATAAAGTCTCCTAAAGACAACCTCTATACAAAGCATAAAAGCACAATAACTAAAACATGTTTTTACTTCACCCACCAATTTCTCCAATTGTTTCTACATAGATATGTCACTTTTATACTATTCTTGTTAAAAACATGCCTATCAGAAATTCCTATACAATTTGTTGCCTTCAAGTCTAACAAAGCTAATTTTTGCTTATTTGAAGTCATTTTTGCCACTCCGCCCAAGCTCTGGCATAAACAACTTCCAAATTAGATACTTATAAGTAAACGAACAAGAAAAGCGCAACCAATCGTTAACGGGATATTCTCCCAGCGCCACACGTTATCTGATTTGTCCCGTTTTAATGACCACCACGCCCACAGAGCAGAACAAAATGGAGACTTGTTTAATCGCCTAACCATTGAATAATAAATCTGAATAGAAAGACAACGCAATGCTTTTTGAAGGGTCCACTTTAACGGAGTTTCTCCGTAGGTTGCCCTCTGGGACAAACTCCGCTTATTAAAAGTAACTAAATTTTAATCGAGGTTTTATACCACCTACTCAACTGAATCAAAGTGATTAGATTTCTTTAGATGACGCTACTTTCGCGTACTTATCTCGTAGACTGCGTGGGAGTTATAACAGCAGGTGAAGATCGTATTGCAATAATATTATCTCTGTATTTACAAACTTATGCTTACGTAATACATGTTATTATTTGCACACCTCTTAGGAAATGACGTCAAAGTTATCAACTTACAAGTAAATCTTGATTCCAACGATCTTACCTTATGTAGACTTTAAGATCGAAATTAAACTTTACTATTATTGTACCTATAGACAATGTTTTGGGATATTTCAGAATATGCAATATACTGTCAGTCTCAGTTGTGCGAGCATTTACAGATATTGTTTAATTGCTGTTTCCGTATATAAATGCACAAATAACATGTTTTTGAGACAAAATTTGGAATTAAGTACTACTTTAAACAACAACTTTAAAATTCAAATGAGAGAAGGGCAATATAATCTATTATGATGTGAAATGAAAGGTTTTTTAAATCGGCTTCATGAAAGAAATTGTAATGCACTTTTACGAAACGAAGACTCGAAAACGCCATGCCGGCACGTTTGCTTCTAAACCTTTTTCTACGTCTCTCTTGTAACATATTTTTGATATTTTTTAAATATTAATAATTACGGCACCTGAAAATACCATAAATATCAAGT